GGTTAGTATGTTCACTTGAAACTAGTAACACGGCGCAGAAAAAACGCCAGCAGCGACATCGTCGTCTGGTAAAGCCTTTTTATTTAGGACCATTTTTCATTGTTCATAGATTTCTACTTACTAGTAAAATCATCAAGTCGATAGATTACCTTATGACGTGGAAATAGTATGTCAACCAATAGTTATCTGAATTCATAATTGACGAAAACATATAACAACTAACAAACAACTTTTACCATATGAATATCAAGGTATGTTGCATGGTCTTTTTTCTTTGGTTTCATTCCAGGCAGCATTACACTGGAGTCAGCGTTAAGAAAGTGTGGTGATGACATAACAAGTGGGAATCCTAGGAAAAACAAAAAAGAATATGATTTATATAGTAACATGTATTTTGAAACACATCTCAGTGCTTAAATAGAATAGAATAGAACAGAGTTACGAGAATATAGAATAAGTTTGAGTAAAGCAATTGTAAAAGTTTACACAAAAATGATATACTAACCATAGTGGCATGGGGCGCTGTTCAGAAGACCACTCGGAAGACAATGAACAACATCTGGGCTACAAAATCCAATGTTATCCGGATTGGTCATAATATCCGCGAATTCTGTTTCCGGAATTACAAATCTGTTCGATATGATGCCTTTTACGGTCACTTGCCTTTCATAAACAGCTTTCATTGACCTGTGTGTTGAGTAGTAACTGTTTTAGCTGTAACCGGGAAACTTGTAAGTACACTCACGTGCCACTGTGTCAATCGATGGGAAAATACCATATGTTTTCTATGAAATTTACACGTTATACCTTTACCCATACTTCATAACCATTATAATGTGGTAATAAAAGTAGATCGCGGGTATTCAATCAAATAAATTGATGGGGGTGAACAAATTATTACGTTTTGTTTTGTTTCCAAAAACGTTACAAGTAGTACATGATTGTTGATTTAAACACACCGTGACGTCATCAACTTTTCATGTGTTTTTATTTTACTTTTAGAAAAAAAAGCCTGAAAAATGAAAAAAAAAACATTTATGAAAGGCTTTTCAAATAACAAACCAATAGTAAATAATTTCCATTGTTGTTTGTCCTGTGATTTGCGCGAAAAATAGTTTTGTGACCATGTATGTTTACCTGGATTGCGCGTAAAACAGCATAATATAAAACCACATTGCAAAATTCAAGGATCGTTTATTTTGATGGAAGCGAACTACTTTAATCTCACCTACAGAGCTCTGGGCAATATACATAACGTGGGTCCTTTCCGTGAGGGGTGGATTCAGTGTTGCATCTGAAACATAATAATAATAATAGTAATAATCATGATAATAATAATAATATATATCAGGCTAAAATGTATCGCCAATAAATCGATCACTTTCACATACCATAAAGTTCAAATACAGCACGTGACCAAACGTAAAAATAAAGATTTGAAAAATGTTGATCCATCTAAATCCGTACATTTCAATAATATAATACAGCCTTGATTAACACCATTTATACTAACCAGTTCCGTTTACTTGATTCGAAAATTTAGTATTCCAGTATGGTAAGTGAGATAACCCGTTCCATTTATCAATGACATTCAGTTTGGTGACGTCATTCTCACCAGTATAAACGGTAAATTGCTGCCACTTTGTGTTGTTCTTCTGCAGACCAGCGTAATGATAAATAAATAAATAAACATTATTACTGACGCGATGTGATTTAGTGCCCTGCTGACGGTGCCTTGCATAACTAAAGAAATCGGTTTCCGATAGTTTTCCATTTCATGTATTACTTTTATCTTACGAGTTACTGGAATAGTACTAACCCCGTGCATGATGCCAAACTTCGGTCCCGGTATAAACTTCGTACCAGAATATCGATAAATAGTTTTAAAAAGCGAATTTTCATATCCCCATACGATTTCTTTGATGGTTAATTCAGTGAATAATTTCATTCGCTTCGTGAGCATTATCGCCATTTGTTCATATTTACGCAGTGACGGTAATGATATCATGGTAGATGCAACCTGAAAATAAAAATAATATTGACAACACGTATCCATAGCAATTAAAAATGTTTAAAGCGGGGAGTCGTCACCTGCGCATGCGTCAGTTGGCCACAGCATGTCATTGTTTACAAACAAGGGTCTACCCATGAGCCTTTACGTTTAAGCGTGTGTTGTCATCGTCGCTTGGGACTCAACTCCCGCTCGTGCGCAGATGATGACCCTCCCGCTTTAAAGAGCATGTATAAATGGTATCATCCTCGCAAGTTGTGCATCACGGTACTGTATGTTAAAAATTAAAAATGCGTCATGCGTCAGATGGCCATGTGCATGTACGTTGATATTCTGAGTGGAGGGGTGCACGTGTGTTAATATTCGAAGTAGAGTGAGTGCACGCCAGTGTGTTGATATTCAGAGTGAAGTGAGTGTATGTGTGTTAATATTTTGAGGGGAGTGAGTGTACGTGTGTTAATATTCGGAGTGGAGTGAGTGCACGTGTGTTGATATTCGGAGTGAAGTGAGTGCACGTGTGTTAATATTTTGAGGGGAGTGAGTGCATGTGTGTTGATATGTTGAGGGGAGTGAGTGCACGTGTGTTAATATTTTGAGGGGAGTGAGTGCACGTGTGTTAATATTTTGAGGGGAGTGAGTGCACGTGTGTTAATATTTTGAGGGGAGTGAGTGCACGTGTGTTAATATTTTGATGGGAGTAGGAGCACGTGTGTTAATATTTTGAGGGGAGTAGGAGCACGTGTGTTAATATTTTGAGGGGAGTAGGAGCACGTGTGTTAATATTTTGAGGGGAGTGAGTGCACGTGTGTTAATATTTTGAGGGGAGTGAGTGCACGTGTGTTAATATTCGGAGGGGAGTGATTGCACGTGCGTTGATATTCGGAGTGGAGTGAGTGCACGTGCGTTGAATATTCGGAGGGGAGTGAGTGCACGTGTGTTGATATTTTGAGGGGAGTGAGTGCACGTGTGTTGATATTTTGAGGGG